GTGTGTGTGTGTGTGTGTGTGTGTGTGTGTGTGTGTGTGTGTGTGCTTGGACTTGGGAGAGCCGGGGCCACACGGCAGAGCTGGTTTCCTCCCTCAGAGCCTTAGTCTAGCATTGCAGCAGCAGCAGCAGCTGCCCCTCGCCTGTGGGGCCTGTGGCAGTCATGCTTCCGGTGAGTGTCTGATGAGTGTTGACGTCCTTCCCTGGGCATGCCTGACTGACGGTTCTTTTGTGTCCAGGAGCTGGAGGAGAAGCATCGGGAGGCTCAGGTCTCAGCGCAGCACCTGGAAGTGCACTTGAAACAGAAGGAGCAGCACTACGAGGAAAAGATTAAAGTAAATGGACCCTTTGACTCGTCTGACAACCACACCTTTGCAGCTTCCCCTCATTCTTGGATCCCTGCATCTGGGCTCACCGCTTGCTAGAGCAAAGGGCAGATTAGTGTAAACGCTATCAGTACTGCATGATGCAAGATTTTCAAGTCGGGAGCTTAAAATAGTCTTCACTCTATATTGTGATTCCATCTTTATTTATTCATTTTTTAACCCATTGTGACTCAGGGCATGGTTAATTAGATTTGGACATGGATTCACCACATTCTTTGCCTTTGATTTTCCTTCTGCCTCTCTGAATTGATTAGGTACCCTTTCCTTCTGTTTAAAGTACATCAATGGGAACTTACTTTTGTGAAGATCTGATGTTGTTTTGAAAATGTGTTTGTTTTATCCTCATTTTTAATTAAAAAATGTTTTTGTTGTTGTTATATGTGTTTGGGTATGTGCATGTGAGTGCAGTGCCTAAGGAGGCCAGAAGAGGGCGTAGAATTCCCTGGAGCTGGAGTTACAGATGGTTGTGAGTCCTCTGACGTGGGTGTTGGGAATCGAGCTCAGGTCCTCCATAAGAGCAGCCAGCATTCTTAACCTCTGAGCCATCTGCCCAGCTCCGTAGCCTTATGTCTTAGAAATGGCATATATTTGTGGTAAAAAAAAAAATAATGACATTTGTTCTGACATTTTTTTTTTAACATGTCTATCATTTACTTGGTTCACATCTCTGTCCACACCCCCTCATGTATCCTCCACACGCTTGTTGGTTTCTTTCTCCTTCTCAACCAGTCTTCCTTTCACTTTTGTGTTACATAGTTAGTTTTTGAATGTGCATTTTAAATGAGTGTATTTGTTATATGTGATAATGTCCACCCTTAATCTCTTTTTTTTAAACATTATTGTCTGAGGATTTGATACTAGCATATAATCATGCAATGCATTTTGATCATTTTTTACCCCCACTCTTCCCCCAACTCCCTTTGTTCTACCCCTACCCTCTTCCAAGTTTAGTTTGCCACCCCGTGTACACATGCCAGTCTCATTCTTAGGGGTACTGGCTGCTACAATGCTCCTTGGCTGCCCAGCCCATAGCCCTTTGACTTTTATTTTGAAGTCACCTGTAAATCTTGCTGTTAGCTTCTTGAAAATGAGCCTAAATTTTCATTTTTCCCCTTGGTGTTTTCCTTTGTCTTTAATTCTTCTAAATCTTGCTATGAATTGTTGGGATATCGAGTTCTTTTTCCTTATCCTGCTTGAAATATATGAACTTTTGGGTAGATTGGTACATTTTTACTCAATGCCCAGAAAATTAGTGTTCAGTGTATTTCAGGTTTTATTTCTCCATCTTCTGTTTTTGCCACCATTTTGAGAACTTAAATAGACTTGTGCTGGATCTCCTGGAATCTACCCTCTTCCACATTTTCCCTTTCTTTGTCTCTCTGTGCTATATTCTATGTAAGCTCTACTGACATGCTTTCCACTCTGCTAACCCTGTCTTAACTGTGTCTAAACTTCTGACAAACCAATCTGTTGAGATAGTAGTTTTAGGCAGATACTCTATTTGCTTTATTCCCAAGTTTACTAGATTATGGAAGAAATTTTTGATTCCATATACTTATGTTCAGGTCTGTCTTTTATTTCTTGAACTGCAGTAGGCATAGCCATCTGATAACTGGCTTTTCTCCCCTCTTTCTTTCTCATGATGGCTGTTCCCTTTTGTGTATCTGTCATTTTCTTTGGAAAATTGTTAATGACATTGACTTCTGTCTTCTCTCGATGCTTAAGGCTATTGAGACTGAAGCTCAAGTTCATTTGGTTCAGCAAACGCCTCTCGTTAGAAACAGCTTTGTGTCTTTCTTAGTCTGCTTCTGTTTGGGTTTTGTTCTGAAATATTTTAATTCTCTTGTCAATGTTCTCACCCCTGCTGCCTGAAAATTGAGCCAATGTCCTTGCACATGACTTTGGTCATTATATCATATGTGATCTCTTTTCTGTGCAGACATTTTAGTTTGGGATTTGTACTGGTTTCCAGATGTTAATGTTTGTAATGAGACAGTAGTCTCCCGGCACATGTGTGTGTTGGCAGTGACCCTCTGTGGAATCCTCTGTGTGATCTGAACATGGAAGTGCCCGCCAAAAGCCATGTTCTTCTTATAGCTCTACCCCGCCCCCTCCAACTTCATGATGATCTTCCTGCCAGTTGAACCCTGTCAAATCCAAGATGCTTTCATTCTGGGTTGGAGGCTTGTCCCTCTGGTACACACACAGCTCATTTGGGGACCCACCACTGCCAAGGTCAAGGTCTGATCTAGAGTCATCCTGGGCATGTCTTCCCTTGTACTAGCACCTGGAGAAAAGGGGTGGGACGTGCTCCCTAGACTGGGCTCTGTGTGCTGTGTAGTCTCAGAATCCCTTTGGGCTAGATAGAACTTAAGGTTATGGCACCAGGGAATGCTGAGGAAAAGCTCTGCTCCTTCTGCCTTCTCTCATGGGGTCCACACAGACAGTTGCTTGCTTGTTCTGTACTGTGTTGCTGGTTCCAACTTTTCTTAAGGCCGTTTTGGTCATAGCTCTGATTGTACCTGGAGCCACTGTGTTCTTGCTCATAATTTTAGAACCACCCTCAGACATCCAACAGAACGGTCACTTGATTGTCCCGCTGAGTGCCCCGCTCGCTCTTGACCCTCTTCTCCACCTTCCACTCTTCTCCAACAACTTTCATTCTATTTTTTTTTCACCAGTCAATTCTAGTTTAAAGCCCTCTTTGAAATGTGTTCTTTCCTTTATCATGTGGACCCCTTCCCTGCTGACTGGCTCTTTTTTTAGGGATGATGTCCCCAGAAACTGTAAAGGGCCCCTCACAATAGACATTGTGGGAAAGGCATATTTCAAATCCCATCTGTGACCCCAATTCTGGCAGCTTTATTCCAAGTCTCCTGTTGTCATTCTGGATGGCTGTGGGTAATGTTTGCAAAAGCAAAAATGAGTTCTTTGTGATGAAGAGCATAGGGTCTAGCTTGGTCAAAGGCTTATGGGAGTTCAATATCTTCTTTCTTGTCTGTCCCTTGGGGTTTGGGCAATTGGGGGAGCCAACTGACTCGCAGAACATTAGGTCAAGCTGGTGGTTAGTGACACAATTACTGTTTTATTTTCCCTCTTTGGGAATAGAAGGTGCTCACAGTAGCAGTATGAGCCCCAAGAGCACACGATTTCTGTCTTCCTGAGAACAGTGTCTTTTTCCAGGGACTTTTCATCCTGCTTCTATCAGAGGGGAAAAGCATCTTTCCCCCCTCTCTTTTATATTATCTTCCCACTCATGTACTGGCAGGCAGCATTCTCCTGTCAGAGCATCATCCTGAGCCACCCAGACTCGCCCTGGCCCTCTCGCTTCTCTCCTTCCGAGATGCACGGCTTGGGAGGATCCATAATTCATTTTGTACACATTAGGAGCAAGGCATGTTTCGAAAACTACTGGTGTATTGGCTAAGAAAAACACCCCCAGGTAATGTAATGTTCTCAAATGCTAGACGCTTCTCTCTCCAGGACTAGGTGCTGGCCAGGCCATCCCCCTCTTTCGTATATGTGTGCGTGTGCACACGTGCGCACGCGCACACACACACACACACACACACACACACACACACACACACACACACATGCGCGCGCGCGCTGATTGGGGGGGGCTGCTGACTTGTCTACCCTTTTTTGGCATTTGGCTGCAATACTCACTTTTCATGTCATTTTGGTGAATAAATAGATTCTGTTTGGGCTTCCTCTTAGAGTCTGGTGGCCTGGAGCCTCTGCTGCTTCCTTCCCCCCCACCCCAGCTTAGCTTCCTGCGATATTCTTCCTGACATATTTTATGTCTCTATAGGTGTTGGACAATCAGATAAAGAAAGACCTGGCCGACAAGGAGAGCCTGGAAAACATGATGCAGAGACATGAAGAGGAAGCCCAGGAGAAGGGCAAAATCCTCAGTGAGCAGAAGGCGGTAGGTATTAAGAATTAGCTCGCCAACCTCCCAAGAACGGTTTTGAGTAAGGCCACGAGTCACTCCATTTCGTCCGATCTCTCCATGACATTCATCGTACAGGGCTTTCTCAGAAACAGCTTCCTGTCCCGAGAGAACAGTGGTGAATTTATGTTCTTTAGTAACTGACCTTTCAGGGTGGTCTTTCAGAACACCTCTGGATAGCCCAGTGGCCCTCAGTCTCCCACATCTCTCTCTCTTTAATTTGCTGTTTTCTCTCCTTTCTAACTCAAAACTCGCTGGGCACAGGACTGGCCTGTGATGCTTGTAAATCCATATTGTCCCAGACCCCCATGGGGGCTTTCTACCACAGAGTCCCCAAAGGAAGGACTGGGGATGTGTAGCTCAGAGTCAAGCACTTGTCTTGCATGCATAAGGACGCTGGACTTGGTGCCCTTTGGAGGCGTCTTCCCCAGTCTCTAAAGGAAGGTCCTGCCCCAGTTATATTTTTAACCAGCACCACTTTAACTCTTAAAATGTAGTAAGTTGGGGAAATGCTAATGTAGAGAAATGTATTATAATATTTATGACCTTGTATGGTCAAATTAGAAGCTCCCGAAGACCCAGAGTATATACATTTGACACTGGGATGTAAAGAGGCCTGATTTCATGTCGGAGGGCGGCCTCCCAGATAGGCCCTGCTGTGTGTTTTTGATTCAGGCTACTTAGAAGATGTTGGTTTCAGTTGAAAACAAACAAACAAACAAACAAACAACTGAGTAGCATGCATTGAGCAGTGACACCTGTGACCTTCAGGATACACAGCCTAGTGGATCCTCTCACTACCTCTGGTCAACCTGTGGGCATTTCTAAGGAGACTTTCAGTTTGGCTCCCAAGGCCCATTTTAGCCTCTGTCCAATGTGTGAGGAGTCTCCTGTGTTTCAGATGATCAACGCCATGGATTCCAAGATCAGATCCCTGGAACAAAGGATTGTGGAACTGTCCGAAGCCAACAAGCTTGCGGCAAACAGCAGTCTCTTCACGCAGAGGAACATGTAAGTGTACTTAACAAACTTGGCCACCTCCTCTCTTGCCACATAAGGTCTTTTCTTTTTTCTGATGGAATGGCCACAGGTTTAGTCATGTCTCCACACTGTGTGGTTTTGCTCTCCTTTGAATGGTCTCCCTCCTCCATGGCTTCCCATTCAAATCAGGTATTCTGCCAGACCACAGAGTACTTTCCTGAGGCTAACGAAACAAGACTGGTTATAGTTTGGTTTTGGAAAGCTGCTGTCCCTGTTCTCCAGCCTAGCCTGCTTTAATCAGCAGGAGGTGACCTTGTGTGCACCTAGTTCAGCTGTGCATTCTGCTGTAAGGAGCTGTGCCTTGGGGTCAGCAAGGATCAGCTGGGTTCGTAAGTCTCTGAGCACAGTCTTCCTGCCTGAAGGATTGTACTCTCCAAGATTGTTTTCCCATTCGGTTTATCCCCTCTGAGATCTTTGAAAACATTCTCATATTATTGTGAACCAGTTGGATAAACTGAGCTTTGCCCTTGGGTTCTAGGTTTTGGTACTTGTTGCAGTTGGTGAAACGGAGAGGAAGCCCCCACAGAGTTCTAGAAGGAGCAAAATTTATTTTTATCGGTTGCAATGCTTTTCACAGAGCATGCATTATAAGCTCTCAGGAGGACACCTACTCAAAGGAGACCACTTTCTTCTCTGTATACAGATTCTAAAAAAGAAAAATGAAAAGGTCTACCAAAGGATTGAAATGTTAGCACCTGTAGCTTGACCATACTTAATGTGACAGGCAAGGAACTCAGAGCAGTGATGACTGAAAATGATTTCTAGTTCCTTATGCTATGGCCATGCCTATGATCTTGGATCAGGAGCAGGGCTAACTTTGGGGTGCCTACAATCGACTTACTAAACAGGCACTTTCCTACTCCACTTCTATCTGCTATCCTGAGGAGACATGTTTACGTCTGATAATTCTGTTTGGATATCCCCACCCGACCCCTACCAGGAAGGCCCAGGAAGAGATGATATCAGAACTCAGGCAGCAGAAATTTTACCTGGAGACACAGGCCGGGAAACTGGAGGCCCAGAACCGAAAGCTGGAAGAGCAACTAGAGAAAATCAGCCACCAAGATCACAGCGACAAGAACCGGCTGCTGGAGCTGGAGACAAGGTTGAGGGAGGTGAGGACAAGGGCCAGGCCCTGGAGAGATTTTGCTGGGGTGATCCAGTCCCTGAGCCACTCAGCTTCCAAGCATAGGCAGTACATGCTGTGGGCCTTGCACACATTGACTAAGACTCTAGAGTGGGCCACATGGTTCCGGGTTTGAATTCACTTCTATCTATTACTAGTTTAGGAAATAGTATTGCGTGTGCACATACATTTTTGCATACGCCATGCCCATGGAGAGTCAGAGAACAACTTTGGGGAGTTAGGTTTTCTCCTTCTACCATGGCTGGAGATCAAACTCAGGTTGCCCAGGCTTGGCCAGAAGCACTTAAACCTGTTGAGCCTTCTCGCCAGCATCTTAGTTTTCTGTGCATAGCTCATATGTCCATGCTTCAGGCTCCTTCTTGTCTGTAAAGTGTCAGGGCTATGTGGCGGTCCTTTGGGTGGACGCACCTGTCCACCAGTGGCTGAGCAGTTCCCCTTCAGCAGGATTTAATGAGGGCACGAGATGTGCAGTACATGCACAGGCTGTCCATATACCTATGACTGAGGCACAGGTCTCACAATGACGGGACTGTAGAAGACAACCAGGCTTAGGTGTGCTTGATGGAGGGAAACTGGGAGGCAGCCATGCTTTTCAGAGGAGACCCTTGCATGGCTGGTGGGGGATAATGATGAGTTTCATTGAAGCCAGGATGTTAGAGACAGGTATCCATTGCAGATCTATTAAGCATCTACTGTGTGCAAGTTAGTAGTCAGGGTATACAGTGGCAATGTCAGATGAATGTTCCTGACCTTGGGGCCATTCAGCGAGCTGGCCTCAAGTAAACAAGACTGGAAAGCTGTTCTTTCAAGTCAGACATGTGGGTCAGGAGTGAGGATAGTATCTCCTGCATAGTAGGTGTACATATTTCTGATGGTGTGTGTCAAAAAGCAGATTATCTTTCCTAAGGGAAAGACTGCTGAACATCGGGACTAGACTGCAGAGAAGGGTCCTTACAAGACTTGCTTGTGTCTGTTTTAACCAGGTTCCATTTTCAGGGATTGTCAGGGTGCCTCCGTTAGCGTCATTCAGGACGTCTTACATCGTACTCCTTGCCGTCTGTTCAGCTTTTTATTGCGTGTTCTTTGAGTGACCACCCTGTCTTGGCCTCCTGGTGGTACCACAGATGTGAGCCTCAGAGAATGGCTTATTGTTTGTAAAAAATGGAATTGGAAGGGGAATGGCGTTTACAGTTTTTATTATTATTATTTTAGGTTTTTTTTTTTTAAGCACGCACTCTATGTGATTGAGGTCCTCCTTGGAGTCTGGGAATCTCCCTTGAATTATCCAGGCTATCCTTCCATTCATCCCTTCATTGTTCCCAGTAGAGTCAGCTTTAAGTGTATCAGTACAAATATTCCAGACAGAGACCTTTAGCCTGGGTGCAGCAGCTGTCTCTTGTCTTTCCTCTCCATGTCTATCTGTCTTACTGAGCCTGTGCCATGCAGTAGATCACCTGGGAAAACAGTGCCCTCAGGGAAGCTTGTTGGTGGTGTTTCTGGAATAGCTCACCGCTTACCCCACCCCCAGGATGGTAGAAGAAACTTAAAATGTTTCATAAGAGGCTCAGGGCTCTGTATTCTCCTGGGGAGTTTTGGAGTTTGGCTCTAAATAGAACAAGGCCAGTCCATCTTCTCTGGCGACATGCTGGTGCTGAGAATTGGGGCTGAGGCCTCAGCTTCAAGTCTGCTCCAACTTAAAGGGCCCGAGCTTTCTCCTCAGCTTCCATACAGTAGTTAAGGCAGCTCCTTCTATGGCACCTTCAGGGCTTCTGGGCTCTGCTTCCAGGGCCCAGCCTTCAGCTGCCCGATTTCTTCTTGACTCACTATCATCCGTGTCTCGTGGTTTTGCCAAAGGACATCTGGGGACTTTTCAGGCTTGCTGGTAGAGTCCCAGCAGGCTCCGACAGCTGGCATTTTAATGAGACAAACAGTAAGACGTCGTGTTTGCAAACATGAACTCCCACCATACTTCCTGGGTTCGAACGCCCGCCCTGCCATCTTTTTATTTTGTATGTATTTTTTAAAAGCTGTGTAACATTTGCATAATTGCCTGATCTCTGTGCGCTGCAGTTTGCTTATTTATAGAGTGAAGGTAAAGGTAACACTCCTCTTATCAGAGTCATGAGGAGCTGCTGTGAGCGGCACCTGTGCCTGGTACTCACTAGTATACTTTTCTGGGGCCACATCATCTTCATTATTGTCACTTGAAGACTTTGGACTTCTGGCTTCAGCTCTCACTAACATGTTAAGGACTGCCAGGTCTAGATTGGCCCTGGGCCTTTCTTTTGAGTTTCTGAGCCGTTGTTACAGAAGACCTCTGTACTTGGATGTCTCCCATAGTGGGGAAGTCGAGTGTGTTAGTTTGTTAGTACTGAGTTTCCTTCCTTTCCTGTCATGCTGGCTCTTCTCCCCCTCCCCTGTGCTGGAGTCACTGGTCTTACTCTCTGGGAGGTGCCCATTTGGTGCCCACAGATACTTAACTCTCCTGTATTTTGTTCCCTGCCCCATTCAAATTAGCCACAGTATTGTTGGTTAAATCTTTCGCAGTGCCTTCTGCCTGGGACTTGGATGTCACCTTTTCTCGGGTTCCTTTTCAGCTGGATATAGCCCCCTGTATCCCCTTTGTTGTCAGTTCCCGTAGATTGTACAGCAAGCATCTCTTACTCATTTGGCATAGTCCTGGATGGCTTCCTCCATGCTGGTTAGATCAGTACACTAACCAGCTGCGGTCTTGCTTTTTTCCATACCTCTTAGACACCTCATTTTCCCTGTCTGAAAAAAGTCTCAGTTGAACTTGACTAGGGCCTTGTGCATGCTAAGCTCAAGCAAAGCCCTGTGTTATATCTTGAGCTTTTTACCATCTGGTTTGACTCCTATAAATTGTTAGTTTTTTCTTTGTATTTTTCTTTATGCTCATGTGTTTGTATGAATGTGTACATCCCATCCACTTGTGCATACAGAGGCCAGTAGAGGGCGTTAGATCTCTTGCTTTGCCTTTCCACATAGGTTCATCTTACTGTGCCTGCCATGCCTGGGTAGCTCACTGGGCAGTCAGTATCCCCAGGGAAGCTTGTTGCTCCTTGAAATCAGCTTGTGCCTCCGAGGCCAGTGGAGGATGTCAGATCACTTGGAGCTGAAGGAGTAGCAGGTGCTTGTGAGCCGCCTGTTGTGGATGCTGGGCACTTAGTTCCAGTCCTCTATAGGAGCAGCAAGTGTTGTAAGCTGCTGAGTTTCAGGCTCAGCTTCCCTACCCCTGTTGTTTCTACAACGTTCCTCCGTGCCCCAGCTGTTACTCTGACTGCAGAATGGCAATGACTGACTTACAGCTCTCTCCTCAATTTGAAGTTAGGGCTGCCTCTCCTGTCCATGTCCTCCTCTACAGAGAAATAGCTCATTAAATTTTTCTTAGATGAGTGCATGAAGCGTTGAGTAGATGAATGGATGTCTGGGCAGATGGTGGGAAAAGTGCTTGCCACAAAATGTGACATTAGTGCAGGCTATCTAGTGGGCATAAATCAGCATGAGAGTATTTAGAAGAAACAGAATCTGGCCTATTGTGGCATTTGCATTCTAACTATAAAGATGTCTTTGCCACTGATAGATGTTATTTCTGTCCATTTACCTTTAAATGTTTTTCTCATCTGGGTTATTTACTAGAGTTTTCACCTGGGACTCCCACCATCTTGTCTTCACAAGCCTTCCTAAATATCTGTGTGTTTGTGAGTAAGAGATGGTCAGTGGGGCACGGGCTCTAGGACTTGCCCAAGTGATACCCAAATCTGTGGCTGCTGGCATGCCTGTTGGAAGATAGGGAAGCATTTGCACACGACCTGTGCATGTCTCCTGTGTGCTCTGTGCCACACAGTAGACCGTTGGTATGTACTGGCTGCGTGGTGGCGGCACATGCCTTTAGGTCCAGCACTTGGAAAGGCAGAGGGACGCAGTTAAGGGCCAGCCAGGTGTACAGAGTGAGTTCTAGGACAGCCAAGACTACCTAGAGAAACCATCTTGAAAAAACTGATAAGCTAGGGTAAGATGACTGTTCTGTCCGTGTGCAGGCATCCTCTTCGCATACACAGCTCCCTGAATATTTTCAGTCTGTGGTTGAATGAGTCCCTGGCGGCAGAGCCCATGGGAGCGCTCACCACTCACCCTGCTGCATATCTCAGGGCTGCTGATTTTTGAGATGGCCGCAGCCCCCCCCCGCCCGGGCCTAGCTGTTGGTCCCAAGACCAGGTCTAAGCTGTGGACTTTGTGGCAGACTGTGTCTTCACAGTCTCTCTACAGCCCACTGAGCATGTGACTCCTCCTCAGGTCAGCCTGGAGCATGAGGAGCAGAAGCTGGAGCTGAAGCGCCAGCTCACGGAGCTGCAGCTGTCCCTGCAGGAGCGCGAGTCCCAGCTGACTGCCCTGCAGGCTGCCCGGGCAGCCCTAGAGAGCCAGCTCCGCCAGGCAAAGACAGAGCTGGAGGAGACGACGGCAGAGGCGGAGGAGGAAATCCAGGCGCTCACGGTGAGTCTGCAAGCATCACTGGTAGGTTCAGGAGGTCTTAGCCGGGATGAGAGTAGGCGCTAAGTGTCTTTGTTTACTCTTACAGATGTCAGGAAAGAGAAAGAGCGTTCATGGGTGTGGATAGTGGGTGGGAAAATAGCTTGTGTGGATAGACTTGTCCTTTGTTGGAATTAATGCGCTAGCTCATCCGATAAGATCTACCTTTCTGAGCACTTTGAAAAATTCCTTCTGTTTTTATCTGTCATTCATCTTTCTAAAGCAGTCATTGTTACATGTGAAATTCATTTTCAGCTAGAGTCTGTATACTTCAGTCTTCTACTTTGTTTTTAATAATCATAAGAAAAAATAATAAATTCTGTCTTACAGTAGTCTTTATACCTGATTCCTGGTTCTTGTTTTTGTTTTGCTTTTTCTTTGGCTTTTGCTCCTGCTTGGTCTCGTTTCTGTTACTATTTCTTTTAAGCCACGTATTTGGCTTTATGTCTTTGTTTCATTTTACTTTATTTTGTAGATGGTTTTAGAGGAGGACCTGCTCTGTATTCCAGCATGATCTTGAATTTATAATCCTTCTGACTCTATGTGCTCTCTCATGCTTCACATAATTTTTTTTTAGGTTCGTTTTTATTTAGATGTATGTGTGTCTATGTGAGTATATGCCATGTGAGTGCAGTACCTGCAGAGGCCAAAAGAGGGCGTCAGAGTCCCTGGACCTGAGGTTGCAGGATGTTGTGAGTCATTGAACATGGTGCTGGGAACCAAACTTGGGTTATCTGGAATTGCAGTGCACACTTGTAACCCCTGAGCCATCCATGTAGCCTTGTGATGAATGTTTTTATGCCTCCCATAAGATCTGGGGGCAGAAAGTCTTTTGAAGGAGAGATTATCTCCCTAAAAGCAACCCAATATCCCTGCTTTTCTGAGAGACAAATTTACCAAGCTGGAGATTTCTGGAAGACTCGGCCATCCACACTACCACTGACCATTCCACAGGGACTGATGCCAGCTGATAGACAGAACTGGTGAGAGGCTTTCCTGGGGAATGCCAACTCATCAGCTTCCAGGGAAAGATGCACCTGCTGAGTTGACCAGGATGCTCTGGGTGGGTGATCCTGACATCTCCCTCTTCAAAACTGTCCACTTAAAAGACCCTGTTACTGAGGGCTGGAGAGATGGCTGCATGGTTAAAGAGCACTTACTTCTAGTCCAGAGACTTTGAGTTTGGTTCCCATCATCCATGTTGGGTAATTTCCAGCTGCAGGGCATCTGATGGACTCTTCTGGGCCTCCACAGGCACCTGCTCTGTCTCTGTCTCTGTCTCTCTTTAAAGGAAGAAAGCAAGCCCCATTACTTTTGGAAGGCTTCATGATGGGCACAGACTCTGAAAGTGGAATGAGCTTCCATGGCTCTATTAGACAGGCCCACACATTTCTCATACTAACACACTGTTCCTGCCAAGCAGATGGGGCACAGTCATGCCTGCTGGTCAGGGTGCCCTTTTCTGTGGGCAGGGCACAATGCAACTGATTTGTTCAATGATTTTTTTGTTTTAATGGGTACCTTATCAATTCCAATCCTAGTTGGATGCTGGCCCTGTCTCCATCAGCTTGTCTCTGTATCTCTCAGAGTGGAGTTACTTCTATAGGTCATTTGCAGTCATTGCTTTTGAGAGAGAGAGAGAGAGAGAGAGAGAGAGAGAATCTGTATCTGCCTGCCTGTCTGTCTTTAAACTAGTTTATTCTTACAGTTTGCCTGTGTTGTCGGGTTTAGCTATCCCATTATTTAAACAAGATGGAGAATGTCATGTTTTAGGGACAGGGTCTTCTGGAGACTAGTGATGACTGCAGTGGTCTGCATGACAGGAGTGCTTCTGGTAAGGAAGCCTTGGTTTTCTGGGACTCAGGCCAAGTCTGGATATTGATCTAGGCCTGAAGTTCTATTATCTCTAAGGGAACACTCATTATGATGCCACATATCCTCAATATTTAGTTTGGAAAATAAATAGTCATACCATCTCTTCGTTTATTTTGTGCTCTGAGCATGGATTGAAAGCAGTTTGAAAAGAGATAAAGCAGGAATGCTGGATACATTAAGAATGAAAAGGCAAACAGGAAGTAGGTGCATAGAAGACAAAACAAAGGAAGGAAATGATCTTTAAGGAGCCTATGCCAAGCAGACTGAAGTTCTCATTCTAGTTGGGTGATTAGAAAGAAGGACAAACAGTGGAAAGGGGAACAGACAGACAGATTTTCTTAGCTGCTATTGGGAGAACCACTGTTATTTAATGCATTATATCATCTATTTTCTACCTGTGTTAATATCCAAGCTCTGAAACAGACACCAGTGACTTAATCCAATTGATGACAAGCCCCTGCTGCATGCCTATCGCTGTGACTATGGCCTCCTCTCCCCAGGGGACCAGCCTGTGATTCCTCAGTTCCTTTTTCTCTGCAGTGCCCAAGGGTGACACATGTTTCTCGCTGCTCTGTGGGGGTCGGGAGGGCAAGCAGTGGCCATGTATCTTTCCGTGCCCCTGTTTGGACGGAAGGGGACATAAAATAGAGCGTGCGTCACTGCCCTTTATCTGTGGGAAATGAGTCCCTCAAATCCTGCCTTGCTGCTGGGTGGAGTGTGCGGTGTCTGCTGGCTGCCTGAAGCCTCGCACAGCAGCGAGTCACGACTTAATTTAGTTGGATGAGATCACTGCCTCCAAGATTCTTTACAGAAGACAAAACAAAACAAAAGCCTTCCCTAGTTCTGAAAACTTGGGCTCTATTGCTCTTGCACATGAAGGTATGTAGAAAATAGGCTTTGCTCAAACTGGTGGTAGAAGAAGCTGGCCGTAATGGGGCACCAACCCACGAGAGGCCAAGGCCAACAGAAGACCTCGGCCTGAGGAGGAAGGAAAACGGCAACAATGCCCTTGGCCAAGTATCTGTTTGCAAACCTGTCCTGGGGAACCCCCTTCATATGCTTTCTTTTCTGTCCTGGGAGTTACCCTCCCCACCCCCATATGCTTCCCGTTCCATTCTGGGGCCTTCGCCTTTGCCTCTTTTGTTCCTCCTTGACTGGGTCTCAGACCTGGTTATGGCCAGCATGTGGCTGCTAAGTAAAGGACTTGATTATGAAGAGTGTTTTTTCTAAGAAAAGGAAAAATGGCCACAAATGCAATACTTTATTACTTTCTCATTGTTCAGGCCCACATTTAGATCCAATGTGAGCATCAATCAAATTAAATCAGCCGGATCTAAAATGATCTCGTAGGAGGTTTGTGAGCCTCACAGCATGATGTTTTTATCAATGAAAGGGAATGGTCAAATGGGCTATTATTGCTTAATTCAAATAGGCGTCACCTCCCAGGCTGGGAGGGAAGTAGTTTACTTGGTCCAGCCTCCACCCCTGGGCCAAATTAGATGGAGCACTTACATTAGAATTCTCCACTGAAGGAGCTTGGCAGGAGCAGCTAGGAGGCCTTCCTGTGCCCTTTTTGTTCTCCCTTTACCCATCCTGTTGGTTGCCTTTGCACTGAAACAGGCTGAGACTGAGTCAAGGTAGAAGGTAGACACATGCCGCAGAGTTTAGAGACTGCTCCTGACTAACAGAAGACAGAGTTTTGGGCCCTCACTTGACCCGGAAGATGCCACCATTCCTTCCCGTGAGCTAGAGAACCGGTGCCCACAGACTCCGCAGTGCGCAGCTGTGTTTTGGATGTTGGAGTCACTCTCAACAGCCCGGGAGGGAAGGGGCATGCACTTTGCATGCACCCACAGGGCTGCGTGGGTGGCTCTGTGGTCCCGACCCCATGTTCTTTACTGATTTGGTCAAGAGACTTAGCTGAATAATAAGGAGCAGAAAGCTTCGGGCACTAATGAAAAGAGCTTCCTCGCTGCACAGTGCGATTACAGACCCCAAAGCCACCACCTTTGATTTCTTGGAGTCATTAATCAGTGCAGGCTCTCATTCTTTCACACACATATCAAGCCTTGTATTTAATTAGTAAGCCGTTGGCACAATAGCCAGGATGTGAACCTGGGGGAAAGTGCGGAAAGGCTAGAGGCCTGCAGGCTGTGGATCCCGGAAGGTGGCCTGATACCCAGAGCAACTGCCTTCCAGTTATTGAATGCGCAACAACTCAAAGAGACAACTACAGAGTATCACTGACCCTTGGGCTGTAGTCTGCTCAGGCAGTGCCGAGTAGCCTCTGTTCTGGGGTTCCCCAGTGGGCCTTGGGGAATCCCTGCAAGCTCCTGGGGTTAGGATGTGTCCATTATAATGTTGTCTGGTGGTTGGCATATTTCACTACGTTAACATCTTCATTTTCTGGGGTCCCCGATAATCGTTAAAGCATAATTATTCCCTGTTTCCCAATACTAAATTAGTTTTGATCAGTCCAACCCAAAGCCTGTCTTAGGTATATCACTCTTCTTGGATGTATGTTGTGTGGTTCCCTTCTCCCCGTTTAAAGGAAACATAAATAATTTGTAGCACTTTCTTTTCAGTTTTTAACAAAGATTTATTAATTTTTTATTTTATGTCTACGGATGTTTTGTCTCTATGGCTGTCCGCACTATGTGTGTGCAGTACCTGAGGAAGCCATAAGAGGGAGCCAGATCACCTGAAACTGGAATTCCAGATGGTTGTGAGCTGCCATGTGGGTGCTGGAACTCGAGTCCGGCTCCTCTACCAGAACACATGCTCTTACCTGCTGAGCCATCTCTCCAGCCCCTCTTACTGTCTCCTTTCTGGGATCAATTGGGCGGCCCTTTGAGCTGCTGCTGCTGCTGACACCTACCACAGGACCAGTTTCATGTTCTAGATTCATCCCCCCCCCCCATCAATGATAAAGCAGAGCCGTAATGACAGTGGCCCATTGCATTCTGCCTCAGAGATAACTGCCATCTGATGTGTCCAAACGATCCAAAGGCTCCATAATGGTGAATCTGAAGGGACTGACTCACCCAGGACTGAAATTTCAGATTCCAACGGGACCAAAGAGATGAGTT